ATTGAGTCAGACTTTCTCAATGTCCTAGAGTTCCCTTGGCCTCATGTAGTAAACTACTAATTATTACCCTGCTCTCCTGAAAGAATGAATGTAATTTCCCAAATGCCTAAGCTATCAACAGGGATTAAAGTGCTAGAGAATCTGATTTATTGCTTCACAGATTATTTTTCTGTTGTACGACCTGGTCTTATTAATGCAAGCTAGTTTGTTCAGACTGGAAACCAGAGCCTTAAGATCCTTCTCTCAAATAGCACAGGTGGAAAGCAGTTCCAGGTTCAGCACCTGCTTGACATTTCAGCCCAGCCTTCCCCAGGCCAGCCAGCACTAATTCACTGATCGCTGCTTTTCTTCAAGAGGCTGTGTGGCGTAGCGGTTAAAAACTCAGGCTGTAGCCAAGACTGCCTGGGTCCAAGTCCTGGGTCTGCCACTTTGTGACTTTGGATAAGATACTTAGATTCTCTGTGCCTTGACTTCCCCACACGTAACATGTGAATAATGACGATGACTCTGTAACAGGATTGCTATTGAGGATTAAATTAGATAATAAAGTGGTGAAAATATTACCTAGCGTGGGGCAGCCTCTCACTAAGTCTTAGTTATGACTGTAATTACTTCAGGAGTTGTTTACCAACCTAGGGAAAATCATATATGATTTGCTAATCATGTCTGAGTCAATAGAATCTTGGTAAAACAGCCTCCTCTCACACTAGCTTATCTCTCTAGGAGGATTCTAACATGGTCACTTGACAGTGTTTTTGCTCCTAAGCATTTGCTCGTTCCACACTCCATTCCGTGACAGTTTTGTCGTGCTTTCCGCTGCAGGTGTCGCCTCTCTGAGGTGGTTCCCAGACCTGCATTCCAGGGTGGTTTCTTGTTCCAATCCTGTCTTCTCATTCCTGCTTCAGGAATTGGAAAACAAAAACCAAACTAAATACTGCTGCTGTGGTAACTTCGGTGACCATCTCAGGGTGTCTTGGGTGCCTCGGGTTCACGCACCTGGCTTTGTGTGGTAACCTTCGGCAGCAGCTTCTCTCCCCAGGGCCTGCAGCCAGCCGGTCCCGCCGGGTCCAAGCCCAAGGCGGCTGCGGACTCGAGTTGCAGCCGACCCCGGAGCGCCATCTTGTGGGCGCCTGGCGCGCTGCCTCCGAGAAGGCGCCCCGTGGCGCTCGTGCCACCCAGCGTTCTCTCTGCCCGTTTCAGGGCTTGGGGAAACGCAGCCAAAAATGACATTCTGGATAATGACAAAATGGCTGTCAGCCAGACTTCCTCTCAATAACTGAGCTCTGGATTTTAGTAGGGCAAGTATCTTTTTGCTGCTTTAGATTTCTTTTTTATTCGGTAGCAGCTACTATATTTTTAACAGGGATTTTTCAACGACCAATTCTGTAATTTATATGCATCTATAAAGAATGAAATTACACATTGTACACAGTACATCAGAAGATTCCGATTTTTTTTTTTTACTTTTTGAGTTTTTATTTATTGGTTTATTATTTATTTACTTATTAATAAACATAGGCAGTGCTACTCAAAATGTGGTCCCTGGACCAGCAACGTGGCATCATGTGGGACTTGTTAGAAACTCAGAATCTCAGTCCCGGTTCCAGACCGGCGCATGCGGAATCTGCGTTTTAGCTAGAGCCCCCGGTGAGTCCTGTGCACGGGACAGTTTGAGAAGGGCAGGTATAAAGGCCTCTGGCAGGAGTCAGGCGGAAGACCTGTGTTCTTGTCTCAGTGCCTGCATGTCCCTACGAATCTAATCGCAGCCTGTACCATCACATCTCTCCATCCTCGGTGGCCCATGTGTGAAGGGAGATCATGAGGTCATGCCTCCTGTCTCGTCTGCTGCCAGGTCGGCTGAGGAAGAGCTAAGATTATATACAAGAGGTTACTTTATACATTGTAAAAACCGGTACAAATGCAAGCGAAAATTGTGAGTGAAAATTCTTCCATGTCACACTCAGCTATCAGAGAGTCTGATTTATATCAGTGGCGGTGCAGGGAATATTCAACTGTAACCGTTTTGTCATGCTTCAAATAATATCTCAGCTGGTTTCATTAAGTCTTTCAAAGGTCCTTCTCAAGCCAGTCTTCCCAGAGCTCAGAATAATAAAATTACATTCTGCTTCCCTTAATAAGACCTTTCACACACTTGCTGTCCTGGGGCCCACAGGTGAGCGCAGTATGGGGCACAGTAAGTGCTCAGTGATGCTTGCTGATTAAACCACTAATTAATCCTCAGCAAGGCCCAAACAGTAGCCAGATGTCCTTCACACTAATCGTGCCGTTTATGATAATCAGATTATTTGCATCATTAGAGACCTGACATAGCTACACGAGGACTCGGTTGTCTCACTAATATATATCAAATATTCATTAAGGAAATAGACTCCTGGTGGTGGAGAAATTCTTTGATAGTGCACACAGATTAAAGTAGGTGAGATCATTATCATTAACTGTTTATAAACAGCATTCCCTTTACCTTGAAACGAGGGAGGGGGTGAAACAAAAGGGAAAAAAACACCAGCAAAAGACTACTTTCTTCTGCTTGCATACATTTTAAAAGAAAAATTAATAGTGAGAATATTAATTGTTGGACAATAAGTAGGTGAAATTTTAGGAAAATATATCATCCGAAGCCCTAAGATTCGTAAGACATTAATATCTGTGTTGCTCCTGGGTCTGGTGGCTGTTGTTCCTGAAGAAATGGTGCTATTGTCAAACAGTGAAAAGTGAAATATCGAAAATAAGTTACTACACTGTTTGCCACCAAACTGAGGTACAAAAATACTCAATTCAAGTTAGGTTAGACTTTTCCAATGCCTAAAATGTGTGAAATAATGAAGTTAAAAAAATTTTTTTTACTACATGTAGGAAAATTTTGCTGTTTTCTTTTTATCTGATTCATTGCAATTAGCAACCTTCTCTCTAATCCATTAAAACAGTTCAGAATGTCAGTGCTTCAAAATTACTTTCCTTAAAGTTAAAATGTAATTATAATATGTCACTTTATGTGGAGGAAATAAACACTCATGCCTGCACGTAAGAAGATACAGTCTATCAGAGCAAGGTCCTTGAAAGCAGGAGTTAGCAGTGTTCTGTTCATCTTGGAGTATCTGACAATGCCAGTATGCTGCCCGGAGGTGTTTCCTACAAATACATTTAATAAAAGAGTGCAAGAGCCACAACTCTACCTTTTTATTCTATTCTTTTTTCCCAACACTGACTTTGAAAATTTTCAAATCAAGAGAAAAATTTCCAGAATAAAACGAAGTACACTGATAACACATCTAGAATCCCTCACTAATCGCTAACATGTTTACCACCTTTAGTCTCTCTCTCTCCCCTGTCCCCCAAGAACAAGAACGTGCTCTTACATAGCCAACAGTAAAATGATCAAATTAAGGGAAATTGAACATTGGTAGAATGCTCTCTACTGGTGCCTAGTTCTGATTCCGTGTGTGCCAGTTGTCATGGTAAAGCCCTTTCTAAGCATCCCCCTCCTGACCTCAGGTCTAATCCAGGTTCACACGGTGCATTTATTTAGCTGTGGCCCCTTTGGTGTCTTTTAAACAGGAAGAGTTCCTCAGTTTTTCTTTCTTTCATGACATTGCCATTTTTGAAGAGTACATGCCAAGCTTCCTCACAATTAGATCAAGATTATGCATTTTGGGCAGAAATATTAAGGAAGTGATGTATTACATTACAGAACATTATGTTAATAGGTACATGATGGTTTCTTCCATCACTGGAGATGATAACTTTGATCACTTGGGTAAGGTGCTTTCTGACAGATTGTCCCTTTGAAATGAACAGCTAACCTCTGGGGAGTACTCTGAGACTGTTAATTCTGTCCCAGTATATTTTAGTCAGCCATTTAGCACCCATTCATGATCCTTGCCTGAACCCGTGATTACTGCTTTGGTAGAAAATGGCAATTTCTAACTCATTTATTCCTTCACATTTACTAGTTGTAATTCCACTACAAATCACAGTTTTATCTTCTACCCCCTTTATCTACCTATCTTTCTATCTACCTGTCTTTGTAAGCATCAGTAAGAACTTGCGGGTTCTTTTTGTTCAGTCGATTATTGCTTACCACTCTCATTATTCATTTGGATGCTCAGACTGCCCCCACTTTGTGCTGTGGGCACCCCTTCAGTCTCTCTCCTGCGTTGGTTTGAGGTGGCCCCATCAGTTTGTATCATTCTTTAGCCCTTAGCACGTCTATATTGATATGGATACATGTTGACAGCCTTAGCTATCTTCGTTGAAGTCATCACCCAAATGATAGATATTATTCTTGCAACAAATATGTTTTGAGCTACTGCTGTGTACCGGTTACTTATCTTATTCCTGGTTCAGTGGAAAGGCAGATAATTAAATTGGCCCTTACAGTATAATCAGCATGTTATGATAGCAGTGAGTTACATGTTCCATGTTCCATGTTCCATGACTCCACTGAGTCAGTTCAGGAAGACTGCAGGGAGAATGTATATCACCTCCTTGACCCAAAAGATGAATAGAAATAAACGCAGGGAGGGGGCACAGTGTTCCAGGCTAAGCGCAGCACGTATCTCTCTGAGGAACCGAAGGCATTGCTGGGTGTCGGACAGTGTGAGTGAGTGTGCCTGAGTGTGCGGCGTGTGTGGTATGTGTTGGAGGTCGTGGGGATGCAAGCAGAGTGAGGAAGCAGCTTGAGGGGTTGGCCGGGGCCCTGTAAGCCTTGTTAAGGACCCTGCCCAATTGCTGTCCCCAGAGCTGCTGTTCTCAACGCTGACATTCGCATCCCCTGGGGAGCCCATCAGAAATGCCAACGCCAGGGCCTCGTCCCAGACCGAGCAAATCAGGATCTCTGGGGGTGGCGGGAGCTCTGAGGTCCATGTGTTTTTAATTTCCACAGCTTCTGGAGAATTTATCATGTGGCACGGTGTCACATGTCACAGAGCTTTATTAACCCTTAAAAACTAAAATTGAAAAAGATTCATTTTATTTTGTAGGATTTTGAGCTCAACAACGAATTAAAGATGAACGTCCTAAATTTGCTAGAAGAAGTTTTGCGAGACCCAGACCTCCTTCCCCAAGAGAGGAAAGCCACAGCAAACATCCTGAGGTAAAAGCAATTGCAGGGGCTGATTGAATTACATCGGTTTGTTTGTGCTCTGTTCACAGAAAATAAGATCCTATCAAACGAGAAGGATAAATCTTAGAATCCTGGGGGCAGCAGGGATTGTGTTCTCACCAGTAAAGTATTATCTGTCATCTTCTCTTTCCTGGGGGCGATGTGGAGGCTGCTGTCTCAGGAAGACTCTGGTCTGGGCGGCATAACTCAAGTGGAGTGCGGTGGCGCCTGCTTGTGTGGGCAGACTCTGGTTTCCTGTAGGGCCAGAAGTTAAAAGAAGGAAGCCTTAGGGATCCTCTCCTGTGAGTCCAGCAGCCATTGCAGAGAGATCTTTTTCCTCATGTGGGTTCTAATTGTGTATCATAAGCTCATGTCTATAAGCAGGGTGGTAGTGTTTCTGCGGGAGTCCTGTGCACCTAGATTGTGAATGTGCTGTCACAGAGAAGTTATGCATTTTCTTCGGCTCGTTTCCCTGGTCCTAAATCAATTTTTTCTGTTAACTTTTCCATTTAGGATTTCCACCTCATGTAGGGTGTGTAATCGTGTGGGAGTGTATAAAGTGTGACTCCACACCTCTGTGTGATAAAGGCTTGAACTTTGGGTATCCCACTAGAGACTGTGTCCATAGTTGTTACACCCAGCATTTAAGCGGGTAGCAAGCTTTCTTACAGCTTCCTGAAGTGGTGGGTGGATTTTTTTCTAGTCCATTCTGCATGAAAAGGGAAGCTATCAATGGCTTTGTGCAGACATTTGGGTTACAACTTTCCAGCTCACTCGTGGCTATATCTTCTTTCCCCACTTGGGGGTGGGAAGCACAGCACCTGTCTGCAAGGGCCTGGTACTCTTTTACCATTCTGATTTCTAATTCCCTCTTCCTTTACAATCTCTGGAAAGAATCCTTTCTTTCTTCCAAGCTTGGCTACATTGTTTCTTTGTGTACGTTATCCAGAGTGCTTGTGTGTGGAGGGGAGTCTATTTTGCTCAGTCCACCATGTTTTTGGAAGTCCCTCCCTGATGCAGCAATGCCAGATTTTGGTTTGTGATGTTCTGGCATCTGGCCCATAAGTCATCATAGCCCTCATTAGCTGAAGATCCCATAGCCAGATCATTCTTTGGTGTAGGGGCTTTTATGTGTCCCCCCAAAAAGTTATGTTGAAATCCTAACCTCTAGCACCTCAAAATGTAACCTTATTTGGAAATAAGGCCATTGCAGGTGATATCACTTAAGATGAGGTCTTACTGGAACAGGGTGGCCCCCGATCCAATTTGACTGGCGTCCTTATAAGAAGTCGACCCTGGAAGACAGACCCAGAGACGATGCTACCCGAAGATGGAGGCAGAGATAGGCATTTGCAGCTGCAAGCCAAAGAGCACCAGAGATTGCTAGCAAACCAGCAGAAGCTAAGAGAAGACAGGGAAGGACTGCCCGACAGATTCTGGCAGCAGCATGGCCCTGCTGGTCTCTTGATTTCAGACCTCTATCCAGAGCTGTGAGACAATACATTTCTGTTGTTTTAAGCCACCCAGTTTGTGGTATTTTGTTAGGGCAGCCCTAGGACACAATTAGAGGCCTCCTTTACTTTTTCCACTCTATGAAAACATCTAAGTAAGCTTAGGGATTCCATTACTGAGTCTATTTTCAGATTTTAAAATTCTAAATACATATTCAGGAAAAGCCTGTTCCAGCGGATAAGTGACTATGCCTGTGGGTGATGGCTGTTCCTTTCCTCTCCATGTAGATAGTTCCTTATGCTCTTTGTATTTAAAACATTAATACTAAAAAACTGCATTCTGGAAGTTTGTGTGCCTAGGGACATTTTGACTAAGTAGCTTTCAGGGAAATGAGGGCATTCAGACTGGGAAAAATGGTCAGGAGTGACTAATGTGAGGCCCTCTCGTTGCCAGTCCCCTCAAGACATCTGTGCCAAACATTTCCAGTCAATCCTAAGAGTTTTCCGTCTGCACCAGGAGGGGACCTCAGAAACCAGTCAGTTGGACTTGGTGCTTAAGATGAGTCCTAGTCACCATCCCAGGTCTTCATTATTCGTCAGGCTCAAGACGTGCCCATTCTCTTTGCCAAATAGTGACCTGGGAATTAGAAGCGCAAGACCGACAGGGAAGAGAAATTTTAGTAGATGGTACAGTAGGAATATAACACTGAACAGTCTGATTGTGACTTTTGCAGGATGTCACAGGCTTAAATCTCAGCCCGGACACTTACAGCTATCAAGTTTCTCCACCAGTCTGACACTCAGTGTCCTCATTTATAAAATGGGGCTAGTAATACCGACTTCACTAGGTTGTTGTGAAGGGTACATCATATATGTAAAGAGGTTGACACAATCCCTGAAACGTAATTAGTCTCATATTACAGCTATGATTATAATCATTATTATTATTAAACTATTAGCAGCACTGACAGTAGCTCTTGGGAAAAATAGTTTTGCCATCAAAGCAATATGGCCCAAGAGAAACCAGGCTAGATCTCAGCCAGCTAGATCTCGAGACTTTTCTTAGGCTTCATCACCTTGTCTGCACAAGGAGAGTGTCGACCAGTCTCCAAACAGAGGCTGATTGCTCTTGGCTCTGTTTTTAGACTACTCTTATTTCTGTAATTGAAGGAGGAATTTTCCATTTCTGCAATTTGATTGATCCCATTTCCTTTTAAGTATATTTGGTACTCACGGTTCTGAACTGTGAATCCAGGTTATGGCTGAGGGATGAAAACACATCATGTTGTAGTTAGATGTAGCTCTGACATTTAGAGATTTATATGCACTCCAGTCATATAACAGAGAGATCTGAACATAAAAATGTATTTAAGCATATATTATATTAAATACAATAAAGCAAAACTTCTCTATGAAGAGCTGCCCCTGACTCACAGGCTCACAGGGGTTGTTTAATCAGGAATAAACTTAATTACCACAGGTAGTTTGTTGCCCTGTTTGTGAATAAAAACCTCCACTCAAAACTTTTATATTTCTAAAATACCACTCCCCTCCAAAGTTGTCTAACTAGCTGTCTTCAAAAATCTATTCAGTGTAGAAATTTTTATAGATACCTAACATGCCACAGAATGAGAAGAAACAGTGACCGACTTCTTGGATGGTCAATGGTGGTAGACTCAGTTCCTAAAGAGGTCATCCTCAAACCTCAAAGCCCCAAGTAGCATCAACAGGAAGACGTAAATATTAGATAAGTTAATGGAACCAGAAAGCATCTTGGAATATTTGAGATAAATCACTAAGAAGAGGAACCTTTGATAGGCGCTAACTTCTTGACCATTTCTTCCCAAGGGAAGTATATTGTCCAGCCGCATAAAAAAGATATTTCCCACTGGTACACATAGCTGTGGAGCCATAGATCTCTCTCCAGGAACCTAGACTACAGTGGAAAGAGTGACATACACTTTGGAAAAGGGTCACTTCCATCTGCTATTTGTAACCCTTAAATGTGATTTGAGAGTCTTTGAGGAGAATTGTGTTTAACTTATTTTTTCCTCATCTTAATCTGCCCTTCAGCATGTGACGACTATTCCTTTCTGCTCACAAATGACACGGGGCTAATTGCTGAGAAGAGGGTTGCCACTAGCATAATCTGTTATAGAAGGCTCCTGCTCCCCTTGAAACAGAGCTTTTGAAGAGGGGAGGAAGAGAGAGAGGAGGGAGTGGCATTTATTGACTGTGTGCTCCGTGTGGCCCCCTGCAGAGCTGCCTTTCATGAGTCCACCTACAAGATGCTCAGAGTAACAGGAAAAGCACAACTGTTCTGGAACCCTGGCAAGCTAGTCCATGTCTTTGAACTTTTGTTTCCTCATCTATAAAGTGGAGATACTATTGCTTATCTAGAAGGGATTTTTTTTGAGGTAGCGTCTGTCAAATGCTTAGCACGTGACTGGCACACAGTTAGAATACAATAAACCATCTGTGTTGATGTTGTATTTTTCCTGGTTGTTGTTGTTATCAACTCAGAATACAACAGAACATCACATCGTTACTTCTTTTAAAACCGGCTTCCTCTAGCAGACAGGCTACATGGTTCTGGACTGTTTAAATATGTTAGTACTTTCAATATGAGCTTGTGCCTTCATTTTGAGTATCTTAAAATGCTTGGCCTTGATTGCAAGTTATATAATTGGATGTCTACTCAGTATAATTCTCCTGAACTCTGAACTTTTGTTGAACATAAAATATCCTCCCCCTTCTGAAACCAGTATCTTAGGTATTAATTAACTTATGTGTTCATTTACTTACTCATTCATTCATCATTTATCCCCACCCCCCAAAAAGAGATATTTATTGAGAGCTGAATGACACCGTGTGTGGGATATGGCACCAAAAGCATCTGAGGAAAGTCTGTCTAGAAAGCAAGGGGGAAGAATTTATCTCCCGGCTCCTGCCTCACGCTGTTTGGAACTCCCCTGTGCTTCTGGTCTATGTGAGCTTGATTGAGAAGGGGGCGGCTCTACACCTTCAGCTGCAGAATCAGCAGGGAAGGCCCAGGGTAGCGGGTGGAAGGTGGGGACAGGGCACTCAGGTCTATGGCTGCAACTCACTGATGGTTTAGAGGATGCCCAGCTCACATGGAAGATCATCTCCATAACTCAGAGCACAACCCACTCACCCTCAGGTTCGCGTTGACCGTGGCTGTTGTGTTTACAACCTTGCATGTAACAAGTTGGCTCTTTGTTCTAAATTAGCTGTCTTGATGATTCTCTTGTGTTTTTCTGTTTTGGAACCACTTGTCCCCAGCACAGCAGGCTGTCGTGTTGCACATCTTTGCAGACCCAACCTCTCAGACTGCCCACCTAGGGAAAACCAAACTGTATTTTGTAGTTTCGTTCCTAGCGTGTCTATTTTTTTTTTTCATGGAGGATATTTTGATTTTTTTTTTTAGAGCCCTTTCACAAGATGATCAAGATGACATCCACCTAAAATTAGAGGATATAATTCAAATGGTAAGTTCAGCCACATTTCTATCTAGTTTGCACAAGTATGTGCAAACTACCTCTCAAAGGTGAGCTTGTAACTTATTACCGAGTGTTTGACCATTTGTCCTATCTGTGAAGCTCTGTGAGATGAACCACATGGGGCCAATTGGTCCATGATGTTAATGTCGACTGATATTTTTGAGCTTTCCGCCATTTTCTTTCATAGCTAGAACCTGCTGATGGACGTCACATTTCCACACGTGCAGCTGTCTGCCTCACTGACCTACCCTGAGTATTTCATTTCCCTTCTTCCTCTCTTGCAGACTGACTGTTTGAAGGCCGAGTGCTTCGAGACCTTGTCAGCCATGGAGCTGGCTGAGCAGATCACCCTGTTGGACCACATTGTTTTCAGAAGCATTCCCTATGAGTGAGTGTGCCTCGCGGCAGGCTGGACTGCACTAGCTGGCTTAGAAAGTGGACATTATTCCTAAGGCAGATGTGTGTGTGTGTGTGTGTGTCTATGTGTGTGTCTCTGTGTGTGTGTGTGTCTCTGTGTATGCACACACACATGACCAGAGGTATGAGTTTTAATCTTACGATGGTTTGGAACCCCTTGAATATGTTTTCATTCTAGTTTATGTTGGAAATATTGATTTGGGGATTCTCAAAACAGCCACTCTTGTGTTTCTGTATGGACTACGGTTACCATAGAATGTGAATTTCTTTGTACACTTCTACCCTTGAATTCCAGAAGCCTGAATACAGTTACAATAGCGGTTCTCAAACTTCAGTGTGCCTAAAATCATCTGGGAAGCTTGTTAAAAATGTACATTCCTAGATAGCCCCCTCAGGAATTCTGATTCTAGTAGGTTTGGTTGAGGCCTAGGAAACTGTATTGTCAAGGAGAAAACACAGCTAATTCTGAGTAGTCCGAGAGCACACCATGGGAAACTCTGATCTAGGGTAAAGGCTGTAAATTCTCCTACCGTCCTTCACCCATTTCTGTAAATCAACAAGTATTGCTAAGCTTCATCACACAGCCTTTTAGTTTCCTTGTGTGTAGAGTAAGGGGAGGCTGTTTAAGTCCTTCCAGCTGTCATATTTGGTAGCTGCGCAAACAAGGCCTTCGTTGGGACAGATGGCCACTGTGAGCACACATTTTCCGCGAACTAAACAGCTAAATTGGAGGTAAAGGGAGAGTGGGATGAGAGACACGAACGTGCTCCATGTCCTATGCAGAGCAGAGGATGTCCATGATGATGGAGGGTCCGGGCCTGGGCAGGGTGGCTGAGGGTCAGAGAGGAACCAGGACAGGGCTAGAGGATGCCCCTGCAGACTGATCTTCGATGCATTTTATCGTCTTTCCCTCCCTCTCTTCCAGCACTCACAGACCTATCCGTGAACATGAAAAACAAATTAAAATAGGAATGTGCCCCACGGGCCATTGAAATCAACCCAGTGACTATTTGAAGACTTGAGTTAGGACCCACAGTGTCTCTTCCCACCCACTTCCACCACTACCCCCTCCCCCACTAGCCTACAGCACATTGAGAATGGGGCATCTTGGAGGAGGAGGAAGAGCAAAGTTGGAACTGTGTGGTTGCCGTTGTCCCCTCCTGGAGCCCTCCCCACCTTTCTTCCCTGTCACCTCGGTGCCTGTGTGAATATCTACCAGTTATTTCCTTCTGTGCAACCGGCACCCCTATGTCCAGCACTCTGCAGGATGGGAGCAGTACCAACAACATCAAGGGACAAAGAACCTTGCCCGAGGACTCAGTCAACATTTCTGTATTAAGAACGTGTCAGAGTCATTTCAAGGTTTTTTTCTTTAAATGCCTATACAAAATAATTCCTGTACACTCTGTCTTAATGGTCCCTGGTTGCTTGCCGGGGTCTGGCGACCTGCTCAGGAGTGAAGTTCGGAAGGCAGAGCTTCCGACCAGCCCAGCTCCCACCTGCTGAACAGCCTTGCCGGGTGCACGTGCTGCAAAAGTGTAACAAGGAGCGTTGTTTCAGCCTTAACCATGTGCACTGTCCTGAGCTCTGGGGATAACACAAAATCCCTGTCTGTGGAGCCTACATCCTCCAGGAGAATGGCAGAGCAGAGCAGAGGGAATAATTCTGTTCTTGATGAACATTTTTGGTAGTGATGCATTTTTTTGAACTCTTCGCTAAAGCTTAATATTTTTAAAAACAATCCTGAAAAAATAGGCATGGTTTCTGAATTACCACTTAACCTCTTCATTTCTCCTGTGTTGGTGGTGGTTTTCCAACTTTGGAGAAGCCTTTGTATGATTCCCAACAGGGACAAAGTTCTAAATATTTATAAGAGAAATCTGGAAACTGAAAAATCTTTTTCTTTTTGGTATCAAGTGGTGAAATGCTACCATTGAGCTAAAATTTGAGAGATCGGTAGCAGCAGGTGTCAGGTGACATTCTAGGCAATGTCAAATTTAATGTATCTAATATTAATGATAATTACCCAGGATCACAGTCAACCAGTTTTTAAAAACTTAATTGGTTTTTGTGTTTTCTTTTGAACTTTCAGAGAGTTTCTTGGGCAAGGGTGGATGAAGCTGGATAAAAATGAAAGAACTCCTTACATTATGAAAACCAGCCAGCACTTTAATGATGTGAGTAGCCATAAAAAGAAAACTTTGGGCGTGTTACAGGGGATGAATATTGGGGTCTTACGACTCCTCTAAAATCAAGTAACTCTGTCACGTAAGAGTTCACCGTGATGTAATAATTTCCAGTTAACTTCCTGACATAAGAGGTTCAGCTTTGATGGTACCCAAGTCTGGTAAGTGCTCAATAATGTATAGGTTGCGGTTACTTTTTTCATGATCATTGTTGCTTCCTGGCCCTAACTTGACTAACAGAGTGAGCAGTACATGTGTCACTGGCCCCTGGTGGCGGTGGTGGTGACAGTGAGACTGAGTTGGTGCAAGTCCTCTTCATCCTTACTGACCGTTCAGCCTGAATTGCATTCCAGGGTTGGAAGGATCTCTTAGAGCAAAATCTCATTGTTTCCGTGGCTCTGTGCTGCAGTGGCCAGCTGTTGGTCCATCTCCCAGCTCTGCTTTTCCCCAGAAGGAAGATTAGGAGATGCTTTTGTACCCCCTAACCTTTAATTGGTTCCGCTCTCATGGTCTTAGTCCTGTGGTAGAACTAGTAACAGATGTGGGAGTGTCTTCAGGTCTATCCAGGCAAAGAGAAGGCTCCCTTTCCAGTTCTACCAAACTACAGTAAAAGGAATAATGATGTGTTTAAAAAGAAAATAAACAAAACTACCAGGAACCCCATGGGTAAATTAATAAGTTGTCCAGAATCAAAATACAAAAATGACAGTGTAGATTCCCAAGATAGTGCTTTGCACAGGGTATGCTCAGAGCACACAGATGCTGCGTGAACGCTACCGCACAATGAGCTTCAATGCTGCTGCTGCCTAACGCATGAGGTGCGTGACTCATCTAGTCCACACTCGGAGAAGCAGAGCCTCTGCTGTGGGGAGTAAATCTCTGTTACCCGCGCTGTACCTGCACCTGGGGTATAACGGACACTCGAACCGGAGAGTCTGTCCCAGGCCCCAGACCCACGTATCTCCTCCAGTTGGATGACCTCTGCATCGAGCTCTCAACAAGTTGCAGGTGGAACCTGTCGTCCACAGCCCAGAGCCACCAAGCCTACTTCCTCATCATCTTCTCTGTCCGCAGTCGTGGGTAATGGCCTCAAAATACATTTCACTCACCCAAGCACGATATTTAGAGGTCACCTTCTCCCTTACCCACCTCACTCTTACTGCCCCCAACATATGTGTGAACCCTAAATCCCCATGTATCTCAGGCCCTTCCTCACCCTGCCTTCCCACTGCTACCACCTTGATCCAGCCTTCCATCCTCTCTCCCCAGGAGCTCCCAGTGCATCTGTCCCCTGCCATCTCGCTGCCCTGTAACCCCTCTTCATGCAGTGCCACAGGAATGACTCCTCTGAAAGGCTGATTTAATTATATTTCTCTCTTTGACAAAAATCTGACAGTAGCTTCCCCTGCCCTTCAGGATATGGTCCCAACTGCTCAACCTGGCGTACAAGAGCCCTGCTCATCTGTCATCCTTGCCTCTCACGGCCCCTGTGCTTCTCAGACGGCTGTCACATCCTCCACTAGACCAAGCCTCCCACCTCTGTCCCTTTGCTCTTATACTTTGATGCTTTAGGAGTCAGTGTAGGCATGACCTCTTTCTAGAAGCCTCCTCTGTACTAGGCCAGATGCCCCAGGCTGCCTCCCTGTTCACAAGCCCCTCCACACATAGATGTAGCTTTGTGTTTCACTGTGTGGCATTTAGTTTATATATCTGCCTCCCCTTCCCTTCCCACCTAATTAGGCTCAGATCACCTTAAGGTCAGGGACACTGATTTATTTGTCTTTCTTTTCTCAGCACCTAAAAGAACGCGTGTTCTATCCCATTTCCTCAATAATTATTGACAATAACTGCATTAAAATTATTGATTAGCAAAATCACCTCTTTCTTGAACAAACTGGATTTCAAATAATTCCTCTCTCTACTGTAAGGACAAATAGGTGCTCAGAGAACAGCCCCTTAGTAGGTGCTTTAATGAATATCCACAGTGATAATTTTGAGGCACTGTAAGATCTTAAGTATCTTCAGAATCAACAAAGAATGGGTGTGTACATCAGACTTAGTGTATGGCTATAAGATTAAATGCGCCATTTTCCCTTTGTTAATACAGTAATCCTATTTTGCCCTTTCCTTTTCCATATTGTAAATGTTGAGCTGCTTTTTAAAAATTTTTTTTTAATTTTTTTTTTTTCTTTAAGAGTTGAGCTTCTTAAACTGGCTTTAGCTGGTAGAATTACAGTACTTAGCTTTGAAACTGTAGGCGCTTCTAACTATCAGTGAAAAATAGGATAAGAAGAAGAAAATGTTCTCTTTTCTTCTGTAGCTGAGTGTTTGGTTTGAGAGTCGATCAGTTGAGAATTTGATCTGACTTGGGCAAGTGTTTTTTCTTTCTCTGTAACTAAGGCTTCCCAGGGTGAGGACCTACACACTGTTGGGAGCCAAGGAATACGTGGAAAGGCCCCTAGGAATGACACCCCAGATCTGCAGACATTGCCATTCCTCAGGGGTTAGGATCCCATTTCCTAAATAATTATTAGCAATAACTCCATCAAAATTACTGATTAGTAAAATTGCCTTTTCCACCAACAAGCTAGACTGCAAATAATCCCTCTCTTCACTCAAAGGGTGAACAGATGCTCATTAGTTTGTTGTTATTATTATTACAGACTGTATAGTCTCTTTAGAAAGTTGGTCCCTAAGTATGGAACGTGATCTTCATGCCACTCAACATCCTGCTTTCCTGACCTGTCTGCAGATAATTTAGATATTTTGCCTAAATGCACTGCTTTGGCTCTTAGCCTCTCTGGGCTTTTTGATTGTCTCAGATGAGTAACCTGGTGGCCTCCCAGATAATGAATTACGCTGATGTCGGCTCCCGTGCCAACGCGATCGAGAAGTGGGTGGCGGTGGCGGACATTTGCCGATGCCTGCACAACTACAACGGTGTGCTGGAGATCACCTCGGCCTTAAACAGAAGTGCCATCTACAGGCTGAAGAAAACCTGGGCCAAGGTGTCCAAGCAGGTGAGCATCAGCGAGTGACATGTCCTGCTGCTGAGAGGAGGAGAGGCTGGGAGACAAGAGACAAGATAAATATGACTAATTAGGAAATCATTAACTGAAACGAGCAGCTCAGCTGCCAAAGCAAGGTGCCAACACGGCTAATTACTGTGCTCTTACCACTTAATTGATTTCACTCATGTACATTTCTAAAACATTCATTAAAATGTTTTGGGGGACAACCTCAAACAATGTGGTTGTCAGTCAAGAATTTCCCGAATTGATTCCAAGTGAGAAGAGTGATATCCAATGAATCCATTCTTTCTCCCCCCAAATAAGGGTACACATGCCTTAGGGAGAAAGCCAGGGGCAAAGGGCCTCAATGTTCACCTTTTTCTTTGTCATTCAGGTAGTGAATTTAAAGTTTTGGCATAATGACTTAGATATACAGAAATACAGCTTTCTTAATTTTCTTTTGTTGGACTCAGCTTGCCTATGCCTGTTTTCATTCAGATATTTTAAGATTCAAACTAAATCACAATTCTTCCCCTGCCCTTTCTCCTGGCCTTCTCCTTGGTTGTTGGTGGGTGTTGTGGATGGCTTCGGGCTTCCGGGAGGTTGTCTGCACCGCTGGCTCCCTATTGTAGTCCTTTGCTGATTGGTCATTGGGTGCAGACCACTGTGGCTTACCTGTACCTGGTGTCACATGGTCTGCCCGCCCTGCCCAGGAACAAGGCATGGTGATTGCACCCAGAGAGCTTGGCTGACCTCACCACCCTACAGGCTCCTCTGCCCCTTGGTGATCCTTGGCGGGCATATCAACTCTTCATTATTGGATGACCACCTTGGCCCTCTCAAACGGCTTCGGGGGAGTTTCCCAGGCTCCTTCATATCCCATTGGTGCCAGTGGGTAGGAGGGGCTACATCAGGCCCTGTCTGCCTAACCCTCCCCTACATACTACCATGCCTACCTTGCTGTGACCACCCAAATGTGGTGAGGAACATCTGCAGGGTGCCCACCTCTAGGGCTCCAGGCTGGAAGAAGAGCATAAATATATTCTGCTGACATTTCCTCCAAACTGTCTGGTTTTATTGCCCCCTCTGCGGATTTAAGCCCCTCTCAGAGACACTCATGATTTCTTACACTTTTCTTCTTCATTTCTCTCGCTAAACCTGTCCCTTTCCCATAGAAGAGACTTTAAATTTCTTCATATAGGAAGAAAGCAAGCCTAAGTCATATCTTTCCTCCTACTTTCCCCCATTATTCCTTGGCAAAAATGCAGTGCTCTGAGAATCCTGAATTTGGCCCCTAAGACTCACAAGTCCTTTTCCTGTCAGTAATACCTGGACCTGGCAAATAGAAGCCACAGTTTTAATTAATATTTTTTTTAAAAAACAAAAACAAAATGCCTTTTATTTTGAGATGATTGTGGATTCACATGCAGTTGTAAGGAATAATACAGAGATTCCCTACACCTTACACCCAGTTTCCCCCAATGGCAACATCTTGCATAGCTATAGACAATGTCGCAGCTAGGAAATAAACATTAATGTAATCTACCAATCTCATTTAAATTCACCAGCTTTCCAGGGATCACCAGCTGTCAGCAAGGGATACCTAAATCTTCCTTAAGAAAGCTTCCAGGCTTTCTCTATAGTTGACTTAAGGGACATTCTTGTCTTTGATAGGATGCGGGTTTAGGGATCACTGAACTGACCATGGAATAGACATAAGACTAATATTGAAATTATTGTTTCAAATTTTGAATATACCACCTATAGAGGTATTAAAATGTATACCATTTAAGTCACATGTGTGGGTAACTCACAGTGGCCTTAGCAGGGCTGATAGACTGTCCTCCAGAGAGGCTATCTTCAGGGCCAAGTGCCTCGCTCTGGTCACGGTGGGTAGGGCCTGGCTGCAGATATTCCCTGCTTCAGACACCTTCAGTAATACCATCTGCCCTGCGGCTGTCCCTTCTCCACACCTGAGATCTGTCTGGGAGATGTCAGAAGACTGGAAGGATCTGCACTCTGGAGCACACGGATCTGCTCTGCGGCTGTCGGGCAGACTGGACTTCTGCAGATTTTTTGAGCCAAGGTCAGCCCTGGGCCAGGCAGGAGGTCTCTTAGAGCCCTCAGAAACCAGGATGGGGAGGCAGCCCTTCGAGCTGTGCTGAAAGCTCCCACACTACCAGGATTGGGTCCTCACCCTCAAGGGCCACCCTACCGTTCTCCCCCATGTTCATCGAAGAAACTCCATACTAATATCAACAAAAATGTTATTATTTCTTAGTAAACATTAGTTATATTTTTCTAACAAATTCATGAAGATGATCAAAAAAGAAAGAATCTGGAGTAGAGTATGTTACTCAGTCAGTACCAAAGCAACCAAATGTGTGCTTTGATGGTTTGGAGATTAACATTCAAAAAGACTCATTGTGAAAACTCCCTGACTCAGACCTCTCCTTTAGGATTCTACATGCAACACGTGCTTTTCAGTTCTTTTAGTCCCTAAGTTTTCCATGCATTGCAATTTTTCTTTTCTACACATTTGTCCTCTCTTTTTGGCTAAATGTGTAGATACAGGCACTTCCTCTTCTCCATGTGTTCTTTTTAACATTCCCTGTAAACATAATGCCCTATCTCTACACTGTGAGAATGATATCACACAGTGACCTTTATTCTGACAAAGGTCACAGCACCTGCCACTGGAGAAGAGAATTGAGCATCTTTGGGCAACTCACTATGGTATCAAACCATAGTATTTTCATAACGTTAAGTTTTTGTTTTTGTTTTTTAGACAAAAGCTCTAATGGACAAACTTCAGAAGACCGTTTCGTCTGAAGGAAGATTTAAAAATCTCAGAGAAACCCTTAAAAAGTATGTCTATCTTAATTATTAAATTATTCATAATTAAGAAATATATGTACATAATTCATATAGTATACGAATAGTGACCTCGCTCCTACTTTGCTTTGAAAAGAAAAACAAATGGGAAACAACTTCCATTGTCTAGGTATTTTCTGATTTTCCTTTTCATTTGGATACTGTACTTACGGTAAATTTCTTACAGGTATAGTGTTGGCATGCGGAGTATTCCGATTAAGAAAAAAAATGTCATCATAATAAATCAGACCATCTTTTAGTACAAAAAGTTTCTTAATTCAGTTATTTCCTCATCCAAGTGCAATGATTTCCTGCAGTTTTTATTTAAACATTCTAGCACCTGTCGATTAGTGTTATATATTTTTGGTTTTCTATTTCTGGATCTTTCTTTTTCTACACACACACATGTAGAACATAGAATCTATTCTGTAACTGGTTTTCTCATATCTACCACAATTATCTTACTCTGGAAAAATATTAGTCCTGTGATGGTGTGAGTGAAAGCAAGCCTAACAATAATAATAATAATAATAGCAGCAATAATAATATAAGAACTATTCACTGAATATTTCCTAAATGGCAATTTTCATGCTAAGTGCTTGCTGTGTCTTATTTAAGCCTCACAACAAACTAAAGAGATAAGCTCTTCTGTCTCCATTTTATAGATGAGGAAACTGTAGTTCAGAGAGTTTGCCCAGTATTACTTAGTAACTGGTCAAGCTGGGGTTTAAACCCAGTTCTTTCTGCATCAAAAACCTGTGTTCTTGGCCTCAGGCTTCTTTGAGAAGACCAAGTATACCCACCCTTGCTCCTCCAAAAACAAAAGGAAACAAAACAAAACAGTGTCTCACTTTAGTTTGCAGTTGTGATGTTAATTAAGTCTACACTTTCTGAAACGTTTAACTAAAACAGAAAACAAGATTTACTATAGTGCAGAGCTCTAATCACATTGATTTTTCCATCCAGTTCATTAACGTTGAATGTTTCTAATTTAATAAGGTCAGGGCATAGGGCTTTTCCTCTACAGCTTCTCTGCCTCAAAGAATTGTGACCAGTTTACAAATACTGCAAACAGTTACTGCTAGCAAATGTTTCGTACTTGTCTCTAAGACATCCTGTTGTTTGAACATGCCATTGTCTCAAACATATAGTAAAGCAGCAAATGTTTCGTACTTGTCTCTAAGACATCCTGTTATTTGAACATGCCATTGTCTCAAACACATAGTAAAGCATGGGCTGTCATTTTGTATTACATTCTATTGGGAAATGTGTCTAAAACTCAGCGTATCATGAATGTGCTTCTGAAAATGAAATAAACAGGTTTTCTTCCTCAGAATTGAAGCGGCATAGTTGCCTCCTGTTTAAATTGGGGAGGGAAATGGACGTTTGCGTTAATGAGCATGAGAACAGTGCCTCTTGGTCTTGCAGTTGCAACCCTCCAGCAGTTCCTTACCTTGGCATGTACTTGACAGACCTGGCATTTATTGAAGAAGGAACACCAAACTTTACTGAGGAAGGCCTTGTCAATTTTTCCAAAATGAGAATGGTAGGTGACAATTTTGTAATCAGTCTGTTTCAGTGATTTCAACGGCTTATAGAGAAGACACTGAGTAATCAAGGTCAATGTCTGCTTTTTATTGTCATCGATACTGGGCCTGAAACCTGATTTGGCTGATTGAGGAGATTTTTGGCAGAGCCATTTCAGCTGGCAGTCTGGGCAAAGCGGAGGTGGAAGAAAGCTCCAAGGAAGACTTTCTGAGACCGACCAGTGATAGAAGGTTGCTGAAGGCTTCTTGCTGGATAACCAGATTCTGAGCACCAAGCTAGAAGCAAGGAGCCCATAGTCAGTAGCACCCAGAGCTTGCCTCTTCCAAACCTGAGGCCGCCCACTGCCAGCTGTTTCTTGATTATAAACTCAGTATCTTCTTGCTGTTGCCATTTCACGTGGCTCCTTGAGGGGCAAGAAGGCAGCACACATAGGGAATGATCAGACAGGGCTCCACCTACTTCACTGGAGGAAGGGCTGGCTGTCTGGGAGGAGGCCTCGGGAGAATTGTGCTGCAATGTAGGAAAATGCCTTGGCTTTGCTTTCATTGTTGTCATTTTGTTTTATTTTCTCTGTTAGATATCACACATTATCAGAGAGATACGCCAGTTCCAGCAGACTTCCTACAGAATAGACCATCAGCCAAAGGTAATATTATATGGTTGTGGTTGTGAAGGAATTAATACAGAAAAAAAGTGGAAATTAATGAATTAGAAAACAACTATGAAGTTGATCATTAATACCAAAAGGCTAGCTAGCTCATGGAAAAGATCTATGAAATAGAAAATCTTGGCAAGTCCGATTAAGAAAAAAGAAGGCAAAAAGAACATCAGTTCATCATCGAGTTCTATTGATTTTGCATCCTGTATTTCTTGTGCATCTGCTCCTCTTCGTTCTGCTTCCACCACCCCCACCCCTGGTCCAAGCTACCTATGCCTGTCGCCTGATCTACTTGCATTCACTCTAGAATGCAAAATCCATTCTACAAATTACAGACAGATTGAGCTCTCCAAAACACGAAGTGGATGATTTCCCTCCTTGCATAAAACATTTGCTTGAAATCCTGCCATTTGCAACAACATGGATGGAACTAGAGAACATCATGTTTAGTGAAATAAGCCAAGCACAGAAAGATAAATCTCTCATGTTCTCACTCATATGTGGGAGCTAAATGTTAAAAACAATTGATCCCATGGAGGCAAAGTAAAATGATGGTTACCAGTGGCTGGGAAGGGTAGTTGGGGGGAGGGTGGATAAAGTGGGGATGGTTAATGGGTGCAAAAATATAGTTAGATAGAATGAACAATATTTGATAGCACAACAAAGTAACTATAATCAACAATAAGTTAGGGCGTACTTTAAAATAACTATAATACAAGAGTAGAAATGGAATGCTCCTAACACAAAGAAATGTTAAATACCTGAGGTGATGGATACCCCAATCACCCTGATTTGATTAATTCACATTGTACACCTGTATCAAAGCATCACATGTACCCTATAAAGATATACAACTATTATGTACCCATAATAATTAAAAAGAAAAAAGAAAAGCTTGATAAAATTTGCTATATCAAAATTTAAAACTTCTCTATGACAAAGGGCAATTATTTAAAAAGTCAGAAGATGAACAATAGACTAGGAGACAGTTGCAACATATAAAACAAAGAGACAATAAAAGTATTGCTGTAATCTATAAGAAAAGCATGAACAACTCAATATCTCTGCAGTGGAGCAACAAACTACTGATATATGCCACAGCATGGAGGAATCTCAAATCATTATGTGAAAGAAGTCACACGCATACTGTATGACTCCGTTTGTATGAGTTCCAGAGTAGACAAAACTGGTATATAGTGATAGAAATCAGCAGTGGAGCAGGCGTGGTGGCTCACGCCTATAATCCTAGCACTCTGGGAAACCAAGGCCGGAGAATTGCTTGAGCTCAGGAGTTCAAGACCAGCCTGAGCAAGAGTGAGATCCCATCTCTACTAAAAATAGGAAAATTAGCCAGGCATCGTGGAGTGAGCCTGTAGTCCTAGCTACTTGGGAAGTTGAGGTGAGAGGATCACTGGAGCACACAAGTTTGAGGTTGCAGTGAGCTACAATGACACCACTGCACTCTACCCTGGGCAACAGAGAGAGACTGTGTCTCAAAAAAAAAAAAAGAAAGAAAGAAAGAAATCAGAGCAGTTGTTGCTTCTGGGAGCAGATTGATTGGGAAGGGAACTTTCAAGGGTGATGGATTTGTTCTACATCATGATATAAGTTACGTGGGTGTATACATTTGTCAAAACTAATCAAACTATTCATTTTCACTTTTGTACATTATATTTCAATAAAAATTAAAAAAAACGTTCATGGAAATACCTCATGCCCCATCATTTTCAATTCTTTCCTTTTATTTCTGGTATCCACCCTAGTAGAACATTCACACATGACCGCTAGGAAGCATGCTAACGAGGATTTCATCTAACTTTGTGTAGTAGTGACATACTGACAGCACTAAACATCCATCAACATGAGATCATTAAAGCTCTGATACATTGCACTATTAATACTGTACAGCAATTACGGCTCTTTGCACTGACACAGGGAACTTTCCATAACTTACAATTAAGAGATGAAAGCAGAGTAAAATGCACAGCGTGATACCATTTATGATTATAAAGGGAAAAAAATGACTTCTGCAAGTAAACGTAATGTCTATAAAGACATCATAACGTCTGGGAGAGTACAAACCAAATGGTGACAGTGGTGCCTCTCCAGGGCGCTCCCTGGGATTGGGGATTGGAAGAGGACTAGGGATGTTTGATTTTTTTTTTTTTACAATGACAGAATATTCGTGATTTTTTTCAGTGATATGAAAGTTTTTAAATGTTTAAGAGAAACTGTTGAACTGTGTCGGATTCTATTCAGAAAATATACGTACTGCTGTTCCGAAGGAAGTAAAAGCTGGGATTTCCCTTTCTTCTCAGGTCACACAATACTTGCTTGACAAAGCCCTGATCATAGATGAAGATACGCTATATGAGCTGTCACTGAAAATTGAACCTCGACTCCCTGCTTGAAAATCTGGCCTTGCCCCTGAGTCCGCGGAGTTTTCACGGAAAGCGGGACAGACGGAATTGTGCATGCCACGCCTCACAGGGTGCAGCATGGAGCCCATCTCCTTTCTCCACCGAAGAAGATGGAACCAGACTGGAATTCTGTCTGCAGCCAGAGAGAAAACCCAGCTGTCTGGGTCAAAGACAGATGCTTAAGACTCGGGTGGGAAGGTGAAAGCGGGATATTTAGTAAAGCTGATGGCACAGTTTACATAAGGGAATGTAAGAGGAGAGATGCTAGTAGCCATTTTAATGGAGCAGGCGAGAAGGTGTATTTCAGACTCTGTCCCACGTCTGGTTAGTACTCAGGGACAAGGATCCGTGGAAAAGACTTGTGATGTTTCCCTGGCACTTTACTGGCCCGGGCACACCTACCAATCTTCTCCTAGGATTTAACTGCTTCCATTACATTTCCTTGTGTCACAAGCTTCACAGAGAAGCTGAGGCTTCCTCTACAGGGACGGGCCAACACATAAGCAGTTCCAGTCCGCAGCATGTGCATGGTTTTCAGTGCATTATAAATATTTATATTTGAGAAATGGTATGTTCTGAAACTGCCTTTCCAGTCTTTAGGCGACAGGATAGGAAAGAAATGATGAAAGACAAATGGATTGTAGGTAACATTTCCTTAATTACGTACAGTGGGCTGTGCCTCAGAGGATTTCAGCCAGTGGCTGACTTGGGGTGGGGGTGGGGAGCTCATTCCTGAGACAGTTGGGCCCAAGAAGCCAACCGCCTTGGAGAGGCAGCTGCGGAGTTTGCAAAAAGGTGCACGCCCACCTCACCGACAAAACTGTGGAACACGATGGAGGCCACCAAGTGCTATGGGGAATAATGGGTTTCGATACCAAGGGAAAATATGTACCTGAAAATCATCCCTGCACCTTTTGCTTGTTTTCTGTCCCCCCTCATAGTACTGTAGGAATCTATCCTGATTTACACAAACCTTTTTTAGGCTCACTAGGAACATTGGCTGTATTTTTTAAAAAACACCTTAGTGGGATTTTCTTTTCAAAAACCCACATTTCCACATGCTATTGGTAGCTGTCTTTGTTTAAAAATGATTTTGAGATATTTCTGAGTGAGAGTATCGTAAGTGCATGGGAATGGGCCCAACCACCCGACAGCTGTTAAAGTAAAAACCAAATGCAGGGGTTAGTCTTGCTATCCTAGGCTGGGGAAGTGACCTTACTTTTCCCAAGATAGTCAGTTATTGAAGAAATAGGGCTATCTCATTGTTTACCTCCCTCTTCTCTTCTCAGGGAGACTGCTGCTTTAAAAGAAGGAAGAGAAAAAATATAGAATTATTATTACCTGAGCCTATTGCACCTGACATTTTCTCTTAGAGGCATGAAGCTTATTGATGCTGACAATGAAAAATTGATCTGTCTGGCTGTTTCCCCTCTTTCCTTGCACTTTAATTATGTTGGTAGAGCTAACAGCTGATAACAAATTCCACTTGCTAGCTCTTCAGACCCCATGGAAGAGCTAGCATTGATAATGTACCATAGAGGTAGAGAATGTACATTTTCTGCACGGTAAGGGCCATCTCTGTACATAACTATCTAGTGAAATAACAATTAAGTAAAATATTTATTATATTTGCAGACCATTCCAAAAATATTTTCAATAGCTCATTAGCCAACAGTGTAGCACTAAACCCGAGGAGGGTTATTTATGGATGCTGTATTTTTCTTTTTTTAAAAAAAAATTGCTTGTTTGTTCTCTTTAATTTCAAATAAAAGGTTGGCGCATCTTGATGCATGATGAGAAGCATGGGCCATTTGGATCCTAACAATGCATAACTTGTGATTTATTTCTCAGTGTTCAGAAACTGAGGGTTTGAAATAATATGTGTCAATTGCACCAAACACCTCAAGGTCTTGTAGAAGAAAAGTAAAAGTAAAGGTTAGCTTTCTTGGCCCAAGAACAGTCATGAAAGGTGAACCGAAGCCAGGACAGATCCGTGAAAGGACCACACACATACTAGTTTCAGGGAAAGCAACAATGGGGAGGTCCATGCGTTCTGCTCTGCCTTGACGTCACCAAAGTCCTTTGGAGGGAAAGGGATGGCCAAAGGGAAAGGGATGGTTTTATATGCACTTTCCCTGAAGTTTGGACTCATTTCTTTGACCCAAATGTTCCAGAGGCACTGCAGCCATTCCTACTAAAGAAGAATAAGAGATAGAGGAATTTCCAAATGTTCCTCCCCTTTTGGAATGCAGCTTTTCCTCGACCGGTGACAAACCTTTTGCCCCTATTTCCTGCAGGCTCTTGGAGGTGCCCGGGTCATCTGTGGTCACTGTCAATTGCTATGCTGATCCTTTGTTTTCCTTTTGTTTTTTGTTTGTTTTAAAGATGGGGTCTCGTTATGTTGCCCAGGCTGGCCTCAAACTCCTGGGCTCAAGCGATCCTCCTGCCTCAGCCTCCAGAGTAGCTGGGACTACAGGCGTGCAGCACCACACTGGTCCTTTAGCATTTTATTGAGAGTTCCATGGCCCTCCTCTGCTTCCTGGATTCTGGAGCTTCATTGAAGGTGCAAGAGAGCAAGAGAGAGAACTCCACCTCCAAGGGAGTTCCTTTTGATGACCTGCACCATTTGTGGACCAGCTGGGATAGGAATGCACATTTTTTAAAAACTTCAATTTGGTCACATTTAAAATCCCCAGAAGCAATTTACAGTGTTTCTTTTGACCTATTTCTAAGAGTAGATGGGAGGTCAGGCTCTAACAGCCAAGTAGCGAGCATATATACTGTAAAATTAACCTAGAAAATCAGAAGTAAAATCCAATTTCATGCTTTCAAATGAATACCCACAATTTGTACTGTCAATGGAATTATCTTTGGGCTTTTAGGGGATGCCTTTGGTTATTAGCTAAGACATCCAGTTTTGCAACAGGGATAAATCTCTTACCTGAGCCGATATATTATTTGACAGATTCAGGCACAAGGTAGAACATTGTCACTTTTCCTTAATGTTTTTCTGAAGGAATTTAAAGAAAGAATTTTAAACTGCTGTTGCAATATTTTCAAGTGGCTCTCACACAAAGTCCCGTTACTGTTTGTTAAATTTCAGTACATCTTAATGTACTACTTATAAACAAATGAAACTCATAGACACCGAAGCATTTGGGAAAGAAAAATCCATTATGGTCCCATGCGGAGCGTGTGATGACGGATCAGCACCTCTTTGACCACGTTGTTGTATGAGACAAGCTCTTGGGCCTGTAATGATTGGACAGCTTTTAAATGCTGAACTAAAAAGAATAATGCAATAGAGGGGTTATTCCCAATAAAATTAACTTTTATTTAAAAGAAGAGGATTTATTTAACTTTTTAAATTAAACTTTTTACTTGATCTGATCTGCTCAAAGAAAATAATAGTTCTACTTAATGATGTCTAACCACTGTCTTTGACACAACCCGTTCCATTTTTGACCAGAAAGCCAGTTGTAAAAGAGCACTGAACTAGGCATCCCAGCCCCGGGTCCCAGACCTGGATCTCCATCTACTAGCTGAAAACCTTAGGCCAGTGTTTACACCTCTCTGAGCCTCAGTTTCCTCATCTGCAAAATGGTATGAGTAGCAATTCTTGTGCTGCCTACCTCACAGAGCTATCATGGCAACCAAATGACTGTCAACTGTAAAGTGCTGTCCAAATGTGAGGTGACATGATTACTGTCCTCAGCTCTCTTTTGTAGAAGATTGAAATGTGTTTCTTTATTATTTGTATGTGTGTGATGGGCAAACACATGTGTTAGTCTGAGAAGCATATTGTTCGTGTCCAGCTACTTTGCAAATCTGTGGACATTTGTGATTTTGACAGAGGGATTTGTGCTGTGGCCTAACACTTGTCAGGTGAGGTGTAAGTTATGCCTATATGCAAATTAAACTTCGCCTTTCTTGAATACTTGGAACTTTCATTGATTTCTTCATTTAAGTCTTTTCTCATTTTTCTACATTTTCCTCTTCTTAGCAATAAGCTCCTTCCAGTATTCTTTTACTTCTAAAGTTCAGAGTGAAAAACCGTTTAGAAGAAGCCCATGTAGCAGGTAATTTGGGAGACCTTCCAAAAGATATGAATGATCAACTAGTCACACTTTCTTTCCAGGGCTTAGATCTTTCCTGTGACATCCCCAGCCCACATTTGACTACCTCCAGGCATGGAGAACTCACTACTCCTTGCAACAGCTCTGTCCATCCAATGGCAGCTCAACGCTCCTGAATGGGCTGTGGAGACAAGAGAAGCTGCTGGAGGGCTGGAGGGAGGAGGTGATGGCCCAGCAGTCACTAAGTTCAACCTAGGATGGGCTCCTGCGCTCTGTTCTCGTCTATCAAATAAGACTCATATCTACCCCTACAATTACTGCAAAGGTTATGTGAACTAGTATATTAATATAGGAAAATACCTTAACTTTTGCCAAGTAGATGAATTTGTCCTAACATTTAGTGCTGAAGGACTCATGATACAGCTGTTGAACACAAGAGTGAACTGAGGAAAGGGGTCCCTCCTGCCCAAGTAGCTTCCTTTTCTGCTTCTGAAATGGGCATTCCAGGCTGGTGGGGCTCCTTCATCCTGTGGCTTGGCCATCCCACAAGGCATTGTCCTGGCCGGCAAGGTGAAGTCTGGGCCCTGCCGCAGTCACGCTCCAGCTGGACTCAGGAACACAAAAGAGAATAAGCCCAAGACAGAGATTTTTTTTAAGAAAAACAAGTGATATGGCAGCTGTCATCTTCACTTCTGTTCTTGTCCCTGTGGCAAAAGCCAGCTACATGGCCACACCAGTGTGGATAGAGCCCCTGAGCTTGGAAGGGGATTGGCAACGACGAGAAAGGAACAGATGGCATGTGGCAGGGATGGTGTTTGAGGATTTCTGAAATCTGGAATTTTTGCTGGGAGCCACTAGTAGAGGTTCCATCCCCATCACACCACCTTTGTAAGAAGCTTGAAGATGACCAGGTCCCCAAAGAAGGCACTCTCTCTTCTCGACAACATCTCAACTTCTCTTCTGACCTTGCTCACTAACAAACACATCAATTTACACCGTTAAATGTAAGTGCTGGAGTAGGGCTTGTGGAGGGGGCCCTAAATGTTGATTAAGAACTGGGGAAATAAAAGAAAGAGGGATTTTTCACTGTAACTGCTGTTCTTCGAATCTGTGCTTCCACATTCTTCGAAAGCCTCATCGTTTTCTGGATCTTGGAGCTGGACAACTTCAGGGTCACTGCATTTATTCCAGCTGGTGCTGGAACTGACTTGAAACAAGTGTGTGTGCAAAAGAGCTATTTTGGGAAGAAATAGGCCTAGAGGGCCCCCCGCTCCACCCTACCCCAACCCACAGAGCCCAGTCTCCTGAGCAGCCTTCAGCCCCAGGGTCCTCCAGCTCGCTGACTGTTCCACCAGAGAGGCCCAGCGGCTGGGGGCTGGGGGCCCTGCTGAGAGAACATGAAATGTTCAGTGTGGTTGGTCCTGATCTTCAGTCATTTTAGGGAAAGAACATAGAAGAGCCTAGAAAATACCTGAGTATATCACACATGTAACAGGTAAGTAACACTTTGTAAAAATTTGACTCAGCGTGAGCTAATGACAGCACATACAGATGCTCCTTGACTTACTATGGGGCCATCCTAAGTG